TGCAGCGCATCCAGTTGTTGCTGATCGTATTCCCCCGTGGTGGACGCCTTAGTCCACGGAAATTTCTTCGCCCGCTGAATTTTTTCCTGCAGCGACGCAATCTGCGCATCAAGGGAATCTTCCCGACCAATGTTCATGGCCGCATCCCAGAACTGCTTCCACCAGTCAGACAAGGTTTGCAGCGTACTGCCCAGCGCATTGAGGTTATTATCAATATCCGACGTACGTTTACCGGTTTCCACTGCCAGTGCAGACATGGCTATCCGGGCTGCGTCACTGGTGCGCCCCTGCTCTCCGAGCACACGGATCTGTTCAAGCTGGGTGGCTGTCAGAAAATGCAGTTCATCATCCAGCGCCTTCGCAGCACTGACCGGATCATCCTTCAGCCGTTTAAACTGACTGATGGTGTCACTGACAGACTGCCCTACCGAGCGTTCCATCTGTGCGGCAGCTTTCGCCACCATACCAATATCGTTACCGTGAAATGCACCGCTCCCCACTACCTGCGCCAGTGACCCCGCCATGGCATGTTGCGTGATGCCATTACCGGAAAGATTTTTACTGAGCGCCCACAACTGCCCGGCTGTCACACCGGCATAGTGTCCGGTGAGCTCAAGCTGCCGGTTAAAGGCTTCGCCTTCTTCCTGCCCCTCCATCCAGGCTTTACCCAGACCAATAACCGCAGCAGTGATCCCTCCGATAACTCCCCCCACCGCCAGGCCTTTCGGCGTCATTAATTTATCAATCCAGCCGGCACGGTTAGCCAGGGTGATCCCGGAGCCACGAAGCGCACCGAAATTACCTCGCGCCAGCTCACCAATCATGACCCCCAGCTCCCGACGGGCTGCCGCACTTTTCAGTCCCAGCGAATGTGTGGTGTTTCCGGCTTTCTCCATTTTACGGATGTACACCTCCGCGGCACTGCTGCACCCAAGTTGTGCCGCCTTTGCCCGAAGCAGTTCCGTCGTGGTCATTTTCTGGCGACTTGTCTGTTCTTTCAGCTGACGAATAAATGCGGTTTTCTGGCGGGTGGCCGTTTCCTCTTCCTGTGTCAGAACGCGGGTTTTCGCTGTCACCTCAGAAATCAGGGCCAGATAATCCTGCTGAGCAATCCCGCCACTGTTTCTGGCCTGTCGGATCTGCTGCT